TAGATACATAGATCATGGAGGATAGATCTATCAGTGGCTACTAACAATGGTGACTGAAGGGAAACCTCCAAATTCAGAGATAGGAAACCTATGGACACCAGTATCTGGAGGCAACATCAGGGAAGGCCTCAGCCTCTATATCCTGTTGTTGGAACTCTGGAGGCCACTGAATCATAGAATCATAGAGTTGGAAGGGACCTCAAGGGTCATCTAGTCCAACTCCCTGCACAAGGCAGGAAATTCACAAATACCCCCCACCCACCCCCCAGTGACCCCCGATCCATGCCCAGAAGATGGCCAAAAATCCCCAAAACCCTCCAGGATCCCCGACCAAACCGGCCTGGAGAAAAACTGCTTCCTGACCCCTAAGTGGCGATCAGCATTTCCCTGGGCGTGTGAGAAAGGGCCACAAGAACTAAGCACTGAGGCAACCCTTCCTGCCCTCCCTCTCATGATCTGCCCAAGTTCACAGAATCAGCATTGCTGTCAGGTGGCCACCTGGCCTCTGTTTGAAAACCTCCATAGACAGAGAGGCCGCCACCCCTGGAGGAAGCCTGTTCCACCGAGGAACAGCTCTAACTGTCATGCACTTCGATTTTTTGTTGTATTAAAATACGAGAATCGAAGCTATAGTTCTGTTGACGTGAATAAGATTTTACTTCAATAAGAGGCTAAATGGATCTTTAAGATTCATTCTATTGAACCCTTTGGTTTAAACCAGAATATGGATCTAAGATGTTATATTTAAGTGGACTTTTGTTGGTATTGTGGACACTCTAGCAGCATGGAAGTTTTACTGGGATGTGTTAAATCAGGACTCCAGTTGGGACTGCTCGCATCACAGTTTGAAGAATCGGTTCGAGACTGTCACATGAGATTAAAGAATCGGTTCTTCTTCAGTTACAAGCAGCCTTCTGGGAGAACCGGGGTTTTGTGTATACATGATCACCGGGATTAATCGTTGTATGGGATTGTTTACATCTCACTGGTTCTTTCTATTATGAAGTGATGTTTAGTGCTGCTGTACAGAGTAAACCATACTTATTGCATTAGGAGATTTTTGTAGCTTATCTCCCTTATAAATACAAGCCGAATGGTGGTGGCACTTCTCTAGAACATTCCACACGCTCCAAAATCAGTTCGCTCTCTGATCTGTCATTCAGAGGGTCTCTCTATCCACTGGCTGCTTTTCCTGAGTCCTGCCTCCAACATTCTAAACAGTTTGCTGTTCCTCTCCCCCATTTGTTGTTGTTCAGTTGCACAGTCGAGTCCGACTCTTCGCGACCCCATGGACCAGCTCCCGCCAGGCCCTCCTGTCTTCCGCCGTCCTCTGAAGTTGGCTCAATTTCATCTTCGTTGCATCGATGACACTGTCTAACCATCTCATCCTTTGCCGTCCCCGTCTTCTTTGACCTTCAATCTTTCCCAGCATCAGGGTCTTCTCCAGTGAGTGCTCCCTTCTCATTTGGTGGCCAAAGTATTTGAGCTTCAGTTTCATTATCTGGCCTTCCAGGGAACAGTCAGGGTTGATTTCTTTTAGGATTGACTGATTTGATCTTCTTGCAGTCCAAGGGACTCAGGTCTTTCTTGTATAGTTCTTCTGTGTATTCTTGCCATCTTTTCCTAATCTCTTCTGCTTCTGTTAGGTCCCTACCGTTTTTGTCCTTTATCATGGCCCCCCCATAGCCAGTCAGAACACAGAGGTTATTTGCATATGCAGCCTCATTGGCCTTTGCCTCGGAACACAGAGGTTGTTTGCATATGCGACTTGATTGGCTTTTGCCTCTAACATTCTAAACAGTTTGCTCTTCTGAGGTAAAATGTGTCCAATCTCCAGGTGAGGGCTGGAGATCACTCAGAATTACAACTGCTTTCCAGATGGCAGAGATCAGTTCCCTTGGAGAAAATGGTGGGCTCTGTATCCTTATATGCTGCTAAGGTGGCCCCCATATGACAGCCAAT